GACAGTGGGTAGATGACACCGAAGGCAGTCATCTCGAAGGTGAATCTGCAGATCCAAACCCATGGCTTGGAGACATGGCATCAGAGTCTGGTGCAAACAGGGTTCTACAAGCTAGTGGCAATTTGGTTGACAGCGCTCCACATTATTCCGATTGCAATGGATCAATCGCGATCCATGTGAGCAGTGTTTTTTTTTGGTGGTTCGAGCCCTATACACTACTTGCATGCCTACGCGAAGGCCTACGCAAACCTACGCGGCCTGCGAGGGGTCCCTACGCGAGCACAAGTCAGCTTCCAGGTGCCTACGCGAATGCCTACGCGGGCAAATGTTGAGTTCAAGTGTCGAAGTGCACTGTGGCAGCTACAGCTGGAAAATCGCAACTTTTCAGTACAAGTGCAGTTTTGGCAGCTCCGGCTCTAAGATCAGAATTGCAGTACAAGTGAGAAGCCCGCATCTGTCCAAGGATCTGGCTGCCAGAAAAGGTCTACGTACCCAAAATGCCTTGAAAGCCTACGCGAATGCCTACGCGGGGCCTACGCGGAGCCTACGCGAAGACTCCAGAACAAACAGAAGGAAGGCAAAAGAAGCAAATTCATTTATACTTGGCAAACAGCACTGAGTCATGATTGGTTCAACAAACGCCTACGCGAAAAGCCTACGCGAGCGGTGACACAACAGCCTACGCGCTGAAGCCTACGCGAGCCTACGCCCCCAACCAGGATTGCCTCCGCAAAGTACATGCAGTTCCCTTTTTGTATAAACCCTTTCATTTGATTAAAAAACGCTGCTCATGTGAACATGAAGGACAGCTCAATCACAAATGGAGCACGGGCACTTCCCTCCCGCCTGTTCCACACCCAAGTCTGGTGGTTGGCATTAAAGACCACGAAGCTCACATGCAAGGCCCGGGTGTGCGGAGAGAGCCTTGCCAGCATCGCACGCAGGGTGACCCATCCAAAAGTAGAAAAATTACCCTCGGAGCACCGTTTCGGATAACACGGTAAATACATGGGCTTGTCCTGAGACATCCTGAGACTCAGAGGCCCCTAAGGCCTACAAAGCTTGGTCTTTTCGTTTACCCGCCAAGAAACCACCGCTCGTCAGGTCGTTGTTTGGTGCAGGAGCTCTGCCATCAACTGCAATGACCGCGTGAGCCAATGCAAGAACGGCATTCAGCTTACCATTGTAAGTTCCAGCAAGCAAGTGGCAGTTGATCAATATTCCTGTTTCCGGAAAACGCCATCTTCGCGAGAAAAAAAGTTTCTTTCGCGAATCTTTCGCGACTCCATCGCCACGCCCTTTTGTTTGCAGCGTGCGCTCTGGAGCCATTGTGGCTGCTGCAGTTGTGCTTGCAAACACGGTAGCCGCAGTTCACTTGCGTGCAGTACGTAGTGTCAAGTGCAGGCAGTCACCGTCATTCGCCCTTGCCACTTGCGGTTGCCAGCGATGTGCGGAACCTTGCAACAAGCTCCCTGGCCTTTCGCCGGTCTTTCGCGGATCTTTCGCGAAACTTGCTCCAAAATAGCCCAGCCAACGTTATTTATTTGCACCAATCCCAACACAGGCAGGGAATCAATAATGCAAGTGTAGGTGCTGCGTATCTCCCTCTCTACAAGGGAGCGGGGTCTGCAAATATGTAAGTGCACAGGAAGGCCTCCAAGAATTCAACGCGGAATCTTTCGCGAAAAAATAAGTTTCTTTCGCGAACTCCATCGCCGATCTTTCGCGGAGGGATTTAAGCCAAGACGAATGGTCACCGAATACATAACTCCTTGCAAGGACCTTTTGATCAACCCCCAAGTAGATCTTCATAAGCCAAAACCTTCTCTTGTGTACCTCCCCCATATCGAACTTCCCCAGCAGGAACATGATCAAATCAGTTGATGCGCCCTTCGGCCCTTCCAGCTATGTCCAAGGCTACCAGGATAGGAGCGCAATCCTGCTGACATAAGTGAAGAGGGCATCGGCCCGATGGCTTGTGCAGAGAGCCGCGGGCGATTCGTTCAATGGAAGCATTGCATCGACACAGTGCGCCACACGGCACCATGGTGCTAGTGCCTGCGCTCGGAGGCCAACCCTTTGGGACCAAATAGGCCAATGTAGGGAAGCGAAGAAGCTCAAACGGTGCCGCCGCACCCCGACAAGTGGCTGGAGACTTTGCCACTCGATTTGCCAGCAATCAGTGGGGCAAATCAAGCAGTTCAAAGCGAGGCACCTGCCGCTTGGACGTTTGGAAGAGGCTCTCTACCCCCAGGTCATTGCATAGGAGCTCTGGGCCTCCGCGCCAGTCGACCTGCTGCAAGAACTTCATGTCGTTGAGAAACGCGTCGTGGACTTTCGACAGGGGCCTCAGTCTGGCCAAAAGCACCAAGTGAGGGTCCCTGCGGGTAGTGCCTGGGACCGCCTCCAAAGCCAACAATTGAGTAAGGGGGAACGAAAGCTCAGCCAAACAAGAGCTTTGCCTTGCTTGCGAGCCCTAGCCAATCGAAGCAAGGGGCACCCAACACTCAGTATGAATCATATTGGCAATTAAGGAGTAAAAACCGGAGCTGAGTGCAGGTGCTCAGCCTGCATGATGCAAACAATGCAAAAAATACTTCATGAATCGTCGCCATGTTCATTTCATGTAGGCGCTTGGCCTTGGTCATTCGGGGCAAAACATATGCTGAGACTAAACATGCCCGTGACAAGGTTTCAACTCAGGCTTCAACGTGTACTGCAGGTGATAATCCGCACCTCGGCGAATAGTGCCGTGCTGCAGCCTGCAGCGTACGACCACGTTCAAGTCCCAAGTAGCCTCCAACACGCTCCACCACAAACAGAACAAACGCTGAGCAGACATGAAGCATGCACCTGTCTTCAATTCTGACTGCAACTCGTCAATGAAAACACGGGGCCGCAGCTATACCCGGAAGCGTCAAACTCCCTGAATGCGTCGGTCTGTGGATGTGCACCTGGCAGTGTGGGCCACGCTGAAACCATTGACTTCATGTGCATCACCAACCCACGCATGTAGCAGTTGAAAGGAACAAGGCTGACATCTGGGCACAGACATGCCTGAATCAAACCGAATCAACTGGCAAGGGCTGGACAACCCCCCTTGCCTCATCAAGCAATATCAAACACCTCTGCCTAACCCTGCCTGAACTACCAGCCTGGTTTGAGTGTAAGCACGTCGTGATGCATCCATGACCAATCAGCAACGTAGCCAAACACCAAACAATCCACAAGGGTTGGCCCACACTCCCGGACTCCCTGCCATTGGCCCCACAAATCCCCGTTTGAACAAAATCGAGACCACTTCCTGCTTGTCATTTGGCTGCCAGCCTTAGCTATTGTGGCCCACGTGCACACTGTTCCCAACCAAACTTTCAAGAACAAGGGGTCACTTTCCAGCAGCTTTGTACCTCAAGCTAGTCTCAACCATGATGCCTCAAAATGCCTCTTGTGAATTGGCCAGAAACTCCAAGCCCTGTGGATTCCAGTAGGTCCCTGTCAACGACAAGGCCCTTCTGAGATGAGTGCCCCTGCAGCATACACGAAGGATGATGTGCGTGTGTGTATTGTGTGTATTGTGTGTATTGTGTGTATTGTGTGTATTGTGTGTATTGTGTGTATTGTGTGTATTGTGTGTATTGTGTGTATTGTGTGTATTGTGTGTATTGTGTGTATTGTGTGTATTGTGTGTATTGTGTGTATTGTGTGTATTGTGTGTGTGTGAGTTGATGCGTTGCCCAACCTCTCCTCGCATGAGCGCGGAAAGTCGGACATTTAGTTGTTCATCACCGTCTCCCATTTCTATGGTGAGCAGACCTTTTTGAAAATGATTCAATCGCCTGCTGTAAATCCCTTGGGAAGATGACGGCATACATTGTCAGGAGTTTGCAATTCCCCCCCCCCCCTGTCTGTGGGGGAGTTGAGGATGTGTGTTTAGGGTTGGTTGACGGTTGGTTTAGGGTTGGTTAGGGTGCTGGGGTGCGGGTTCAGGGGGTGTTCAGGAGCAGCTTCAGACCAGTCAGAGCCAAACCACCAACCCGGGACCCACCGGCTGCCTGCGGTGCGGCCTGTTGAGAAGACCCAGGGCTCGGAAAAGGACCGGCCATCCTAGCGGCAAGTCTCGAGACGTGAGCCGTGCCTGGTGGGACAACTGCAGCCCGGAGCTGAGCGCTTTTGCACTTCTGCTCCCCATTGCTCCCAATTGGATGGTTGGGCACAGGCTAAATTCACCGCCAAAAATGCATGACCTGACGCAATTTGAAGTTGAAGAGGCGGACACAAGCCCCTTCCTTGCCCCTGCCACTGCAGTCAGCCTGGCCTGGCCAACCTTACCGCTCCAGTACGCCTCGATCTCCTGTTGCCTCGTCTTGTCTGCCTGGGATTCCCGGACGGCGCCCTTCCGCGCCCCCACACCACATAAACATTGCAACGGGGGAAGTGCACGTTTGCAACTCTGCGTCTTTATTCCCCGTAGGTCCACGCCCCGGGCGCCGCACATTCGATTCGTCGAAGGAAAGACCCACACCTGACCCGACGACCGGCGACTGCACTGCTCGCAACCAGGGTGAGGCATGCCCACCACGTCGGTTTGAGCACACACCGCTTTCTAAATTGCCTCATTCGAGCCTAGAATCAATCAATCCCCTAGTTGATTGATGCAGAGCGCCGCATTTGATGTGGGACGCCCTCCAGAAAGACACTCGGCTGAATAATTGTAGGTCATTACATGTCACGTCCCGAGCTGTCTTGGAATCCAAACCTCGCGGTCACACGCGAGCACCAACATCACAAGCGCGTCTACCAAGAATGCGAAATCCAGGTGGGTGACCCCACTTCAGTTACTACCAAATGCTGGAATGCATGTCCAGCAAAAACCCACCGAATTTCCCTGTGGCTCACGTCCTCACGCTCTCACATCTTTCTTTTCTCTGGAGGCGTCAAAAGCCACTCTGACAACTAAGCATGTATGGCTTCTCTTCGCGGGGAAGCATGGGCACGCAGTCCCCAAAGAAAAACCGGTCCCAAAAGCGTCCAAATCATGAACAGCATTGCTGAGGCAGCTGCAGGTAAAGTTGCCGGTCCCCTGGCACACTCAGGCGCACAATCACGTTGCTGGTTTCCGTCGCCAGAAGCCAAAACCCAATTGCAAGGAGAATCCACCAAAGTACAGGAGTTTTTGGGGACAGTGTCGTGTGGAATTCTACGCCGCCCGCCCTCCGCGCCTGGACTGCGGAGGCCTGTGGCAACGAGTGAATCGTCTGTCACATGGCTGAGTCATCCGTTTTCTGGCTCTATGTTGGCCTACTTAGCGGCAAGCAGCCAGCCTTGAAATCCACGCTCTAGGCCAGCTTCTATACCAGGCCCAGCCCCCCTTCTGAGGCAAAATCTTGCCGCCTGCCCCCATAGAATGCGCTTTGTGATTTGGTGGGTCTAGTTGCTGCTGTGTCACAGGTAGCAAGGACCTCACGTCGATTTCTCACTGGGGTGGTACTGCCTGTGACCAAAAACGGCAAACTGCTCGGGAACTTGTCGAGTAGCAAAAGTAGGTTCTCGATGCGGCGAGATATCCAGAACACCCACACGCACGTGTCCATAGACACACATACAGCCACACACATACATATATATATATATTATCCACAGATGCACGCATGCAGTCACGCTCCAAGGCTAATCACTTGGAGCGAAAGGTGACGGACTTCAAGGGCTGCGAATTCAACCCCTTCGAGGGCCCCAAATGGATAGGACGCCCCGCAAACAAGTACATCAAGACCTGTTCAGCTGTCGCATCCAAGGGCTGTTCAAAAAGTCCAGTTTGGACCCTGCCTGTATATGCCTTTACCCAAACATATCCCAACAAAACACCCTCTTTTGAACCCCCTTCGCAATATATCCCTCCCTCCTTGCCTGGACGCAGGTGGAGGACTCCGTTTCCGTGACCTGCTGCGTCAGCACCTGCGCTCGGAAAATCCGCGGTCAAAGGAACCTGAATTGGGTTTGTTCAAAAACCATGGGATTTGGTTCATAGCAAAACCCAACCCAATGGGTTGGCTGTAAATAAAACCCGATGGAATTGTGGACCGTCATCTGTTGGGTCACAATGGTAACAGCCAGGATGGGATAATGAAAGACAGGAATTAGACCAGAATGAAGCTGTGGATATGAAGACCAACAGAGAAGCGACCCATTATCCCATTCTTCCTTGTCCTTCCGTCCAATCCAGAATGTAACCAAAATGAACGACTTTACTGGGGAAACCCATGCACAAGATGGTGCAGGATTTAGCCAATCAACAGTTGCACAGCTGGTTGATTTGTGTTTGGGTGTGGGGTCATCGCGCCAAGGCCTCTCTTTCAAACGAGCTTTTTTTGGTTGCCTGTGAGAAACATCTAAAGCGGAGATCCCTAGACCTGCGTACATAAGCACTTTGGTTCAAAGCGGTTGACCAAGTCGACGTTTTTCAAGCCACGACTGCAGGAGCCAAATAGACAAACACACCCCTACCCCATCGCTCTCGCAATTTCTGGCTCGGATCGCCTGCACATAGCCGAGCAGATAGTTGTGGCGTCGCAGCACGGAATCCTCCACGAAAAGCTCCGCCTTGGCCGGCCATTGCCCATCTGGAACTCACGGGCTTCATGCAAAAAACATCAGGATATCAGGATCCGTTTTGTTTCCCCACTTGACTCTCAGTCGAATCCTGTCACCAACAATCTAACCCTTCTTGGTGGCACATCAGTTTTATTGCACGCGAATCCAGTGCCACTGCCACTGTCGGGATTGTCACACTCTCGGGCGGCCACTGCCACTGTCTCTTCGAGCCTCGGGTGTTCTCGCTTGGGTGGGGGGCAGCGGTTGGAGAGCTCGGGGCTACAGGACCTGAGTCACTTAAGGCATGCAGGAAGTCTAATTCAAAGTCTAGTTGTTTGGCTGCCCTCGGGGTCCCGCTTCCAAGAACTCGATGGTTGCCTAGCTATGCTGATCCTGCACTACCCCGCTGGTAGAGGGAGCTGTCATCACCATCAGGTACTATTCCTACAATTCCTACATTTGGCTTAAAATGAGGCACATGTGAGCTTTCTACCCCATGGAAAGAGGGCACTTGAAGTTGTCGAATTCCGCTAGCCGGCCCCAAGAACCCAGAACATCGGGTGTTAACAATGCGGGGATCCCTAATCCTAATCCGTGATTTTCAGTGGGGCACGACATTGGACGCCACTATCATTTGGCATGAGGATTGAGAATTGAGTTTGACCAACCAGTAACAGCTGTGATGTGGGCAACTTTGCAAGGAGAGATGATCAATCAGATGATGGGTACGTAGCACGTAGCCGACGTAGCTACCCATGCCAAAAATTGCCTTCAACTCATTGCCACTGTGCCCCGGGCCATGTCCAAATGCCCTCTACCGAGCGGATGCTCTCGAAGGGGGCGGAGTGGATTTCGCCTGTGTCCGGGACAAACTGTGGATTGCCGGGTGTTCACTGAGGCATATGTTGGGCTGTACTCGACGGGTTGTTGGCATCGCTGGAAGCTCTAGATGTGAACTCAGTGCACACAGAAACGTCAGCTTGGAGCTGGATTAAGCCTCTTCCCCCTTCAAACCAAGCTGACTGTTGAAAGCTGCCCGGCCTGTCATGACCTGAGCAATGCCTGGCGCAGGATCGAGCGTCCCGCATTCGCAAGAAATGAGGAGGGCATCTTGTTTGACTGCTGGCAAGGCCTGTTTTTCAAGCAGGCCGCAAACGACAAAGACATCGCGAGGCAGAGGCGCCGCTGGCTCCAAACGAGGCATGACTTGGGCTTGAAACAAACCCCTTCAGGTTTTCCGTTCGTGGCTCTGTGCTTCCAACAGCTAGAGGGCCAAATAAGCAAATGCAAGGACTCACCCATGACCACTTTTACTGCAAGCACACAAGCAAGACAGCACAGAGTGACACAAACAGACAGTTGTCTGGCCGACTGCCCACCAACAACTATTTTGAAGGCACACAAACACACCCAATCAATGCAAACAAGTATTGCCAACACTACTTGGGATTGCATTGCCAATTTTGAGGATTGCAAGGGGGTCCAGAAACACCAAGCAAAACAACAGCAAGTTTCTCGAAACAGATTGTCTAAAGATTGAAGATCGAAAAGAACACCCCCACGCTGCAGGGCCAGTCACTTCGCCTGCACTGGCTTTCCTATTGCAATGCTGTTGGCCAATCAAGGGCAAAGCGGGAGAGCCCAGGAAATCCTCACAAAACCAGTTTTCCAGGACCTTGTCGACCGTGAGAGGGGGAGACGTTATCAATCAGAGGAAATGTATGGAAATGTCCAAACAGCAAAGTGCCACTGACAGTTGTAGATCTGACAACGGTCGACACACTGCATACATGTTCTCCACTCCAAGTGCTACGTCTCAACCCAACACCCCCCATCAAACTTGCCCCCCGTTTGTATGGGCATAGCGGCATAGCTTGCCGCTCTTCAATGGTTGCATGCCTGGAGGCCAGCATGCCTACTGACAGGCTGCTTCAAGCCAGCAATCTCCAGCCGGCCTTCATTGCACCAGTAGGAATACAGGGGCGGCCGCAAACGGAACAAGCACCAAGCAGTGAGAACCAGCAGCATCAAGTAGACCTTTGCCGGCGCGGATTTGTCATGAGCATCGCATGAAGCCTAACACCAATCCAATCTACAGACTGACTGGGCTCTCAAATCAAGTTGGCCCGCTAGAGACATTCCCAGTATCTGTTGTTTGCAGATGGCCATGGGACCCGAATTGCCCTCACAGTAGGAAAAAATAGCGGCTAGCATCCAGTCAACGGCGATCATATGCAACTCTCAAGCGGGGCCATGTAATTGTTTCCAGGAGGTCCCCAAGAGTGATGCGGCACATCCCAAAACCAGCCTCGAACAAAAAGCTTCACAAAAGGCTGACATGAAGGATAGGTCTGTGGGCGTGCGGGGGGGGGGGGAAGGGGGCGTTGGAGCGTTCTTCGCCAGAAAAGAAAAAGCCAATCTCATGGCAAACGACGTGCAGCCCAATCCTCGGACATCAATCTGATGCGTGCATTTTAGCCTCTATCAAGTTGCCATGGCAAGGTTGGGCTAAGCGCTAGTTCAAACGTTTCAACTGCAAGAGTTTTAAATAGTAATATGACCGGCTAAATAGCTACGGCATAGCATTTGACAAATATGATCATGACCTCACTTGGCTTCAGCTCACCCAAGCTACTGAGGCCCTTCTAGTACAAGCTCCAGCCAACAGCCACCAAGCTAGCAGGGGGCACGCATGGCTCTCAAGCCTGGCGAAGTGACTGTGGCTGTGGCGCAAAGACTCCGCAACTTGAGTGGTGGCAAGTGCCTGGCCAAAGGTATTGCTAGAGGGGATGGCCTGGATGGCCTGGGAATGGCTTGGGGGTAAGAACGATGGGCCGATGTTGTAAAGGGGCATGGATATTTGAAGAGCCCTGCAATAAGAGATCTTTCAGGAAAGCTGGAAGCCTTGCACAAACGAAGAATTGCCCATGGAACATGAAACGATTGACCTCCTACATGTACTACGTGGTCAGTCCAACATCCTGAATGGAACTATGAAACATGACCCAAGACATGGGCGCAAACCAGGTGGCAAGCAAGCCTTCAAGCAGCCAACGCAAAGTCCGACACGCTGGACAGCTACCCAGTGAGCCAGGGCTGAACAGCTGGATCCAGGGCAAGCACTATCATGCCCTGGTATCCCATACCTGCACACCTAGTTGTGCAGGTGTGGGGGTATAGGTGTGGGCTTTGCGCGTGCAGTTGAAAAGGACACCAATGACTGTGGTGACAAAGCGGCGGCGCTCGTGGCAAAACAGGGTGGAAACGCCGCTTGCGAGCACCAAACTGAAATGACGAAACCGCATCCCAATCAAGATTGGCCCCTCAACCGCATGAACTTGCTATGCAGCACGCAGAGGACATAACCCAAACCACCCTAAATCGGCGCCGGAACGCAACAAAAAAACAACAACATACCAGAAAATACCAAAAGGAAACACGTGAAACAACCAAACCAGCGCCAGGGGATCGCGCTGCGCTAGGAGCGCCCAGCCTCCGGGCGTCGCGGTCACGCTGCGTCATGAACCTAGCGCTGTGTGCAGCACCAGGGAAGCCACTGCCACAGTCCGAAACGTCTGGGCGGCCATGTACGGCTGGCTCCTTGATTTTCTATGGCCAGAAACCCTGCTGTTCGACCATGGGTCCGGACTATCGAGAAAATCAGCCGTATGTCACGGCCAATTTCGCAAAGAAGTCCTCATGACCTTCCGAACCCACAGAAACCAAAATGGTTTGCAGTGAAAGAAATGCCGGGTAGGCTCTTTTCCATGGACAAATGCAACGCCTCCATGATTAGTTTCAGATAGTTCAAGCGGCGCAGGCCTGTTACACTGTTCCGGCGCTTCAACCACTACCATTGCTGTTGGTGCATGAGAGGCAATTCTGACACCAGGCCAAGCAATGAGTTCATCACAGCCATCCTGTCTCCCGGACTTAGGCAGTTCAGTCCTTTCACCTAGGGCCACCCACTGGAAGAGCCCCGGCAGCATCACCATCTGCTCCGCCAGGGAAGAGTTGTTGCCAACTGGGCCGCGTATGAAAGCTTCGAAAACATGTTGCGGCGAGTCTTCGGCAACACCCAGTTCTTGCCACCTTTAGTTGACGCAAGGCCGCCACATGGGTGATCTGCGCTCGAGTAAATACCACATCGACACAAAGGACTTGCAAATCAGCTCGGATTTGGAGAGGCCAAAGTCACGCCGCGGCGCACATGGTCACCCAGCAACTTTCCTTTGAGTTCACTTCCTTATTTCTAGTGCAGCTTTTGTCAAACTGCCAAGCTAAAGGGCAAAGTCAAGCGGAAACTATATATTTGTGCTTGTGCGAGTGTGTAAGGGATCTTCATGTGTGATGAACATCCGGGCTCCCACACCTGCAAGAGCGGTGACATGCTTCTGACTCTGACTATTACTTGCAGTGCTTGCTCAAACTCACAGATGCGCTGATGGGCATGTGGTTCCTACCGGACAGCCTCCAGAAACACAAGTGAATCTTACCATAACGCAACGAGGTGGAACGATTTGGCTGGAGATGGGGCTGACGTGGCAACTGCGGAAGTGTTTTTGGCTAGGGTCCTTACCCTGCTGTGGATGGACGAAATCCTGCACCACCAAAGAAACGCCTGGAATGATGATTCTCCTGCGCATGCCAACAAACAATGTCTTCCAATGGTTTCAAAGTGGTGCAGGATTTCGTTCATCCACAGTATTGGTCCTTTCAGCCCTGCCTGCAGTGGACGAGCCCAGCTTCTGCTCCTCCTCCGCCGGTCGCTTCACCTTCTTCCTTCCTCAGAATACCCAAGGCGATCATCCGAACCAATCACTTGAGAGCGGAGCCGTCAATGCTACAAGTCGTTTGGTCCAGGTTGATTGTCCGTGTTGGGACCACTCATCACACATGCTTTCCAACGGAGAAGGCTTCAGGCTGACAAACGAGGGGGTAGAAGGATGTCAAGCTCTGGAAACATAATGCCTGGAAATCTGCTTTGAACCAAAGAATCAGCCCAATGACTCCAATGACTGCCAAATGCACTCGCATCCGCTTACGCTCAGGGCAGGGCCAAACTTCGGCTGGATGTCTAACCACTCCTGCTGCAGGATGATTGGGTTCTTCCTCAGATCTGTCTATGCCCACCCCAACCCCAACAATGGCTGAGCATTCCGGCCCACCACTGCGCAGAACCCATCTGCCTTCTGATCAGGATGTGGCAAGCTGATGATAAAGGCAATCCTCAACCTAAAGGTCCGGATCAACTTGTTCAGACTCAGCTTGTTTGCAAGCCAACCCACACATCCTAGACGAGGTGGCATTGCTCAACTCAAAGAGCAACGGTCCGTCAATGACCGCCTTCATGCCGGTGTGTAGCACCGCAATGCAAGCTGGCCCCCGTGCCTAGCAATCCAGTGGTTGCACTTGGGTCCCCAGGCACTAGGACCTGCAGCCAAACCCGCTTTTCTTTTGCCGGGCCCGTTTGTTGGCAATATGTCCGAATAGACGGGCAGTAGTGGCCCGAAGCGCGCATTGCTCAAGCAGAGTTGCGCCTGAAACATATTTTCTGCCAGGAGGCGGCGTCTTGTGCACCAGCACAAAATGGCCGTCCTCATTCCGCCGCAGGCAGTCGTGGACCCTCAGCGCACCGGTCAGAATGCGAGAGGTGTACTTGTATGCCGCCCTCAGGTCCAAGCCCACACAGCTTGCGCCGCTTTGAGCTGCGAGCAATCATGTCATGTTACTTGCTTTCTGCTTTACCGCACCCTTACCGCAGCCCTTTAACTCCCAGCCCAATGGAATCAGCGAGAGACATGTTGGAAAGATGCCGACCTCAACACCAGGGTGCAGAACATGTTGGTTGAGGATTGTCCCGTTTTGGGGTTCTCTGCTAGCTTGTTTCTCTTCAGCAGGGTCAACATGCAGGCTCTTGCTTCATGTTCTGACTCGACATGACGGAGCCCTGGCGAAGCAAACATTCAACACCACACTCACTTCGGCACCCACTACAGCCCAATCTTGAGTTCCAGAACAAGAGTGCATATTTTGGGTGGCTGTCTTTCCTGTGCACAGGCAGTGGCAGCTGTGGTTGGGCAAAGCACTTTGGCGATAACTTCCCGTCAGCAAGTAGCCCTGGGCATCCTGATTGAGGTAACTAACCTAGATGGCTTGAACATGGGGTTGAGCATGTCTGCACAAAAATGGTGTCATTTTTGTGGGCTCTGACCCATGAATCAAGCCACCCGCTATTTCCGTGCATGTCCCCATTAAACATCTTTGTAGGGAAGCTAACACTGCTCCAATAGTTGATGTTTCTGCTCACGGGCTAACATTACTCTTGTGGAGGTTGGTTCCCCTCCAAACCAACAGTTTGGAGTGCAATGGTGTGTCACTTCAATGGACCAGTGCAAGGACCCCTTTTCCAGCCCGATTTGCACTGGGAGCCGGTCAACATGTTTTCGTGCAGCTTGGAGTTGTTGGTGCTCTTCAGGACGTACTCCACCTCTGGGAGCCCCCAGTACCTGCAGGACTCTCATGTCATGAGTGTGTGCCCTTGATTGCTTTCTCTCGGCTTTGGCTGGCCTTAAAGGGAACTCAAAAGGAAGCCAAAGAAGGCAAACACGTATAAACCCTTGCACCGCCAATACGTGGCCCTTTGCTTCACACAGAGGCCACCCAAATCAGAATTGTTTGCACCAAATCCCAAATCCAAACGTCTCTCAAATCCATGCTGACTGTGATTGAATTGGGGAGGCCTCAATAAAAACATACCAGCCCTTTGCCCTACCTCGACTTGACCTTGAGCGCGCTCGAATCAACGGTTTCAGAATGAAATCCAGTGAAGCTGAGTCATTCCAGAAACCTTTTGTTGGGCCTGACCCCCAAGCTGGCTTGCTCCTACGTTGAACTTTGGGGCTGCACTTGTGGACAGCACGCAAGATGCGAGCTCGCAGCTGTCCAAAGCGAGAAGCCCTACGACCTGTTTGCCAGTAGGATGCGTCTAAAATGAAGATGGCTTTGCGTAAAGCGGGGAAGACTAGCAGCACAATTCGGATGACCCCTCAACAGAGATCAGAGTCAGTGATTTTGCCGGAGCTTGAGCAACTTGCTTCTGAACACTTGCCAGGGTCCTGCCTAAAATAACACAACTGACAATGTTAACCATTGCTGCAAAGCAAGCGGTTCCACCTTGCCCCTAAGGGCCTGAGTGATGCGAAGCCAATATGTGCAAAACGGAGCCGAGCCTTTCTGGATCTGCGGCATTGGGCTTCAATCTCTGCCTGCTAATCTTGGGGCTTTGACCCCCTGTCCAGAGGCCCAGGCTGCCAGTTGCAGAGCTCGGCGACGTTTTCGGCCCATTCCCGACACCATCCCACCACCTTGCAGACGTGGCACGCACAGGCGTCCAAGTGCAACTGCCTCACGGTGGTTGCTTCCGCCTGGGCACGGCGCTTGGTGTTGGCCCACGGCTTGGGGTGGACCCCTGGCTCGCCTTGAAAACAGGAAGCTGCCCGACTACCCCCAACCAATCCAAACCAATCCAAAGAACCAATAGCTGGTGGCACGGGACAAACACAAACGTACGAAGCGTCCTGCCCCAACCATCGAATGACTGATTACATAGTATGGGCCGAGCTGTTGGGCGGCGTGCCAACACAAAATATGCGGCATCTGGATCCTGCTGTGTACTCGCGTCCCCGCAGTCTGGACCCTTTTTGACCCCGGATAGGTGCAAAAACGGGCCATTTGTCTTCTGTGGGCCCTTGAGTTCCACCCTATCAAGTCTGGACACGTTGCGTTTTGGACTGGCAGTCTACCGAGCCAAAGTTTGCAGGCAAACTTCGATTTGCGCATCGGAAACCCATCTCGCAACTGACCCGGCAACTAACAGTGCATGATGGAACAACAGCCAGTGCCTGGACGACAGCATTGCGCATGTGACCTCTGTCTGGGTCTGCGGACGATGCAGTAAGTGAGGTGCCGCGGGAGCTCAGAGTTGTCGGCCGCGTACGTGACCAGCAGGCTTTCCCGCCGCGAGCCTGAAGTGCAATCGAGGATCTCTCATGTGCCAGCTCCCTGCCCCCGACAAAAAATGCCTGGCTACAACACCTGACTACATTTCAATACATTGCGGGTTCAGCGCCCCATTTTTCCATGCGCAAGGTATCGTGTCCTTGGCACATCCGGAGCCCAGCCAGGACTACTGATTTCCTTTGTCGCGGTGCCTCCAAACCTCTTGGCATTCCATGGGGTGCTCTCGCTGTCAGCGCCTGAAGTGGCAACATCGGTTTAGTAGACATATGTTTGCAATCACTCAGGATTCGTTGCAAATTTCCCGAGTAAGTATGGCCCGCAAGCATCCTGTGGATTGACAACAGCACGCCGGTGGGTCTACACAGTTCCCCGTGCTCTAGTAAGGCCCTT